TCAAGAGTATTGTAATTTTAAGAAGAGGACAGGAGTGTCAAAGCAAAGAAAACATTTCAACATCTTGTTTGCAGGTAAGTTTGTCATGAAACAAAGTTGTGGCCAATGGAATAGAAGTAGAAATCTCTACCAAACAGTTTCTATAAGAATCCCCTTAAAAGACAGCTTGTAGAGGGCCTCCCCGGTGGCGCAGCGGTTGAGCGCTGGGTTGCGAAGCTGCCCGCAGCCTCTGCAGCGCCAGTTCGATCCCCGGCTGCTCCCCGGCCACCGGAGGAGGGTCCCACATGGCGCGCAGACCTCTCCTGCCGCCCGCTGCTCCCCTCAGCAGTGTGCTTCGGTCCTTCTGCCTGCTCTGCTCCCCGCTCTGGCTCTGGTGAATTCTCTCACCCTCCCGCGCTTCTGACTGTACCCAGTGCATGTATAAACAAAAAAAAAACAAAGAAAGAAAGAAAGAAAGAAAACATGCCTCTCTATATAAAAAAAAAAAAAAAAAAGACAGCTTGTAGAAATATACTTTTTCCCTATATTTCTCTTCCTTTATCTTCCCTGTCGCCTGGGATATGGGTGTGAAAACACTGTAAGGCATCATGAGGATGGAAGGAACCACTAGATCTTGAAGACTTGATGGGACATAGCTTCCATGCCTGCTCTAGGTTGTGTACCTCGGTAATATTCTGGAGAGAGAATAATAAACTTCTGTCTTGCTTAAGTCACTATTATGTTAGGTCTCTGCTTCTCCTGGGCAAAGTGAATGCTTACTGGTTTAATTTGCCATGATATGTCCTCTGTCCTTATTTCAAGACTGCAAGAGAGAAAACCTGAATACAGAGGAATAATCATATAGGAGCATCCACTTTTAGTAGACTAACTGGGAAGAGAGAACAGTAAAAAGGAAAAGAAGCTGTCAAAGTTAGAAGTGCCAACTGCTGTGAAATACAGAGTGAGGGCTGAAAGAAATCATCTCTGGACTTGTCTAGATTAGGAGGATGTCACTAGTAACGTTAGAGAACTGTTTCCAAAGAGTGACTAAGAAGCCAGTGAAGCAACAGCACTCAAGGGATTATTGCCACTTGCACGTTACTTGGAGACCTTCCAGCTCCACACAAAACCAGCTCACAGATGTGTTTGGTCTTTCTGGGCTGTGGATGTAACTGTGCACCTGAATCATCAAAAAACAGAAATGACCCTTTCCCTAGAAAATTTCTTGATTTCTTTTCCATAATCACAGCACCCCCAGTAGGAACAAGTCTGTTGTACTCTATCAGGACACTAGGATGTAAACTGATGACCTGGTTTTCTCCTTAACTCTATGGAGGGATTCCTTTTCCTCTGGGGTTTAGAAAGGAACTATTTTATACCATGGGATGAACAGCATCAATTACTATTAGTAATATATTTATGCATGTACATATAAACATTTACCTGTAGTAGGAAGTGATATATCCTCTGAAGGGGTAACAAAAACATGGGTCTGTTATCACTCACACTCTGTGAAGACGCCTGAGCACCAGACAAGGGAAAAAGTGGATGCAGGCCAGAACTTTGAACTTTACAAGATATGAGTTGGCATTCCTTGAAGTACCCAAGGGATGTGCTTTTTGAAAGTGTGCAAAGACTAAGAACACATATGCCAACAGAAAATTTTCCATAAGAAATAGTGGTTAGAGAATGAATGGAGAGGGTTTCAGTCATTAAAATGGTTTGTGGTTTCTTCTAATATATGCTTAAAATATGCTAAGGAGTACACTTCAATGGGTAGTCAGAAGTGGAGTTGACAAGAAAAAAAATGAGTATTGGGTCTGATGAAGGAGATTGCAGTTATGGCAAAAGCAAAGGAGGTTTTTGTCTCCATAGGCTGATGATCGCTGGGATGGGGCATTAACTTCCTCTACTACCAACAGAGGAGGAAGTTAGTAAAATATCCTTTAGGATTTTATTCACTTTAAGGAAACTTTACTATGCCAAACATTTACTAGTAGTGGTTGAACACCTAAACCTCAAATAGTTAAGGTAACAGGTATAATATACAGGCGAATAGAAACACAAAGGTTGTGAAGTGAGAAGTCCTGGTGAATGAGAGTCCTGCAGCATTAAGTGGTTGCCTTTCCTCCCTCGGGAGTGTCCTATAAAGATAAGTCTGTGGTCTGTCCACAGTTAATAATTGCCAAAATAGCTTCACACTTATGGTCTAAAATATATAAATCAATATTTTTGCCAAAATTAGATAGACTCTGTTCAACTATTTGATCCATTCCATCCCCTCTCATCTCTGTACTCACCACATTCAGGCTAAACGCCTATCTTTTGTGGAAGGAGAAGGGAAATGTGAAGGTGATGGCAAAGCTAGAGAGGAAACAGAAGTTAAACTCCTTTTTCTGAAACAGAAACCGGAGTGGTGCAGTCCTGAATCCCTAGTATCTGCTCAGTCCAATCTCCCTGGTTTAAGCCAGTTCAAATAGCCTCAATTTATTAAGAGGTGCTTGGAATCTCTGCCTCCACTCTGGAAGACCTGGGCACCTCCAGATCCAGAATTGTTCACCATAGATATTTAAGCTGCAATTTACAAGTATCAGCATGTGTTCCCAGGGAACAAAGCTGCAGCAGAGCAAGAGCCAGTCTTGACTCTTGTAGGTAGACCTTTGAGATTTTTGTCATTCAATGTGAAAGCTCACCCAGGACAACTCATATATTTCATGACAGCAGACCTAGCACTTTCCTAATTAAAAGTTTTCAAGGTTTTGTATTAGTGTATCCTGAGGATTAGTTTTATGCCTCTGTGTCTAGCACATCTTCCTTTTGTCTGCTGTATAAAGTAAGCCCTAGCAGTTGACTAAAATGACTAAGTCATGGTGAAGCCTCTTCCGTCTGAAATTTGGAAAAGATTGTGAATATCTTTGCAAAATGCACCAATGTATGCATTATATTAAGTAATTTTATTACGACATTGCCTCGAATATATTTTAAGAACTCAGTGCATGTTGGAAGACTTCTTTATTTTTTTAAAAGTCCTTTTTTTTAATTCTCTTTCTCCACTTCCTTCGAAAAGTTCTTCTAGATGGAATTAAATGGGAAACCTTCAAAGTCTTAAAGCTTAATGCATTTGGAGGTTATAGCTAATATATTATTGTTATGTTTAGATTTTTCATTTATCAACTGCACTGTAACCATTTGGTGGGAAACCCATTTTACACCATCTGTATATATTCCCACTGAAAGTAATGTTTGAAGGACTAGTGTTTCATTTGTGATTTAATAGGTGCTCAGAACATTTATTGATGGTTGTATTTTACTTAAATGTCTGCTCACCCAAGATAGGATGAAATACAGAAATATAAAACAGCTTCCTATCCTCAGTTCCCTCAACTTTTACTGAATTGACTTGAATTATTATTTCTAAGGCTGATGAACATATTTTAGCGTCTTATTTTCTTACCGATTTGGCCTTTATAGTACAACTAATGGCCACTCAGTGAATACACACTGACTGAGGAAATGAAGGACCGCCCATCTTCTGTGTGAATCTTGCTCATCTTCCTAACTCAATTCCTAAAGAGTAACTTTATTCTTTTATTCCAAGTTTATTAAAATACAAGAACAAATTGTAAAAGCACACATACCTCTCAGCACCAAACATAATCTAAACCAATTCAAGTACTTCCCTGTGGATAGGGTCAAACTCTATCTGTATTATCTTAAAGCTAGAATGTGAGTAAGGAACTTACTCAGTACAAAGAACACTCAATATAAGGAGAAGATATTCTGAGAAAAAAACTAACCCCCAAATAAAGCTGAGACAAAAATCTAGCAAGCATTGAGAGTATCTATGTTCCTGGATCTAGATGTCCCTGAGGTTAAGTTTTTCCCCAATCATTTCCAGCACTGTATTATATCAGTCAATAGATTTTTTTTTTTTTTTAGTGGACTAATTTGAGTTTTTCACTTGCAGAGTCCTGACAAATTCATGATACATTCTTTGAGGGAGCTGTTTTTGTGAATTTAGTTTTACTGCTTTTACATATCCTGTTGCACCTGGCACAACATGTATCCTATAAAGAACAGAAACTTAATCAATAGTTGTTAGAGTAACAATTATTTAAATTTCCATTAAGTCCCTGGAGTATCATATAAGACACTACAAATGTTAATGAAATTTTTGTGCAGGAAATCATGAACAGTCTCAATATATTTTGAACAGTCTCTAATATTTTGGTTAAATCACCTGTTTTGGGGAACAAAATACACATATTCAACCATGTCGTGTATGTGTGTGTGTATATATACATATAGATATATATATACACACACATATAACTTGCCATGTCCTTTATACTTCTCATAGTGGAAAATGATTGATATAAATGTGGCCACATGTTGATGTTTTCATTACACATTAATGCATTACCAATCATATAATTATGATTAAGCTGCTGATTTAACAATGGCTCACCATAGGATTCCTTTTTTTTTTACTTTGTGATGATCCTAAAGCAGTCTGCAATCAGTAGAAGGCTAAGCCATGATCTTCAGTAGTTTAGCTGTATTAAATATATTTGGAACTTACAATGGAACATATATATATATATATATATATATGTATATATATAAAATGGGTGTGTGTGTGCTTTAACCGACTTCCTGGAAAGTTTATTTATTGCACTTAGAAAACCTGAGGTGTAAATATATCAAAGTAAAAGCTTGCCCCACAGTCATTTCAATGGGTCCCTTTCCATGAATTCTGTGTGTGACTTGTTCATGAATATGGAAAGTATCTGAAGATTTTCTTTTGACTTGTCTTGATTTCCTTGAAAACTCTGGCACACAGCATGAAATTAAAATAACCTGGCACTGCTGGCCACTTTGCCCACAAATACCAAGGAATAAATATTAGAATGATGGATTCTCTTTCCCTTGTCAACCATGAATGTGTTCCAGTCAAGGGCAAGGTCTAGAGAGTAATTTAAAAATAAACAAATACAACCAAAGAGTAACTTTATTCTTTTATTCCAAGTTTATTAAAATACAAGAACAAATTGTAAAAGCACACGTACCACTCAGCACCAATATAATAACACTCTTTCTACTGATAATCTCCAAAACATTTCTGTTTCTGCACCTGAGAAGCAGATATATATACACATGCATTCTCACCACATTTACCCAGTACTCATAGCATCATGCCCCGAATATTCTCCTTGCTAGAGAGACAACAATGGGCAGAGGCAAACGAATGTGAACTACATCCAACCACTAACTGAGTCGACGACTCTTTCGTCAGTAGTTATCATTTGCACACTGGTAACCTCTGCACATTCCAGTCTCCCACTTCGGGTGCCCGATTTTGTGGGCTAGTGACAGAGTCCGGAGACAATGTGATGCAAAACTAAACAAAACTGGCCAACATTCCCTACCCACTATCTTTTCATTGCTTTGGTTATAAAGTACTGGATACTTATGTCTTCAGATTTTCCAATCCTAACATATGCAAAAACCACGCCGACTATTGACAGTCTGGAGAAGTCTTGAGGATTTTATTTACCCTCTTCCATGACCTTTCATTTATGTAGGTACCTGTGTGCCTTTGAGGGTAAGGAGGAATTCTGAGTCAATATAGTGACATCCCCTGGGTCTTGGGAGTCTCCTCAGTAAATATTAAATAAACTCCCTGCAGCTCTGGCGCTGCTGCCCAACATGGACAGCAAGTCCCAATTTGTGTGAGCAGTCGTTTTGGGATGTCTGGAAGCTTGCTTCTATTGGTTCAGCCTCACCTTGGAACAGAGCTGAGCCTCTCAAGTCTGATGCCTTGCTTCTGGTGCTATCCAGAACACAAGGCATTAGGTAGTGGCCCGGGTCTGGCTCATCCTACAATGATTCAGCAGCCCTTCTCCAAAGGTGAGAAGTTTATTTTCAAATCTTCCCAAATCCCAAATCCATACACAGAGCCGAGAAGGGTTAGTTCTTCCCAGTGAGTGACTTCCTGATTCTCCCAGGTCCTGCCCCTTGCTTTCACAGGGATCTCAGGACACTACCAAGAGAGTACAGATCACCAAGTAGAGGTTGGTGCTTATGCCTCCTTCTGGACAAAGATGAAGACTAGGTTTGGCTTCTATTTTTAAAATAAAGGAAAGAGGAAGGAGATTGGAATATAAACACTTCAGCTCTGATTTTTGGCAGTATCATTAAAAAAACTGAAAACTTCTGGATTAAAAAACCTCACAGTCTCCACTACTGAGAGACATGACATTGGGATCGTTCTAAAAGCTGTAGCTCTGGAGAGGGTTTTCCTTAAATCTTCAATTGGACAGAGTTAGTGTCTACATTTTCCCTCAAGCTTATTTTCCCAAACACCAGTCAGAGGTCAGGTGAAATAAATGTCCAGGTCCATCCTCTTATGATTTACAGAATGGGGAGTCTTGTAAATCAGTGCAATCCTTTTGGTGTAGACATAGCCCACAGGGCATGCTGAGGACACCTTGTATCTAGCTGCCAGTTTTCCCAAAGGCATAGATATGTCTTTAACCTGCCCCTCTGGTAGTTTATGCAGCAAGTCAGCATCCATGCATGATGTCCCCATATTTTATAACTTTTATTCAAGAACCCAAATGGTGAAATACATCCAGGTTAAAATGAAAAACAGTAGGTTTGTCTTCTCTCCTTGATCAGAGAATAAGCATATCCTGGGTAATGGGGAAAAACATGAACTAAATCAAGAGACCATTTAAAAGTTGATATTGCCAAAAATCAGGAACATCCTATAAACAAGGTGAAGACATAGGACTTACATATCATATGATATGTAAGTTTATATGTGATACATAAGAGTCACATAAATTAAATGACTGTTCCTTTAGGGACACAAAGAAAGAACAGAGTTACTAATCTGCTTCTGAGGAGATCAATTACATTTTAATGCCTTTTTTCAGACACTTCTACTTTATTGGGGTGGTGTTCCATTCATTTCATTCATGCCCATTTAAGAACGTCATTGTCGATTCTAATATTTTTTCTAAGCAGGAAAATAAAGTAAGTTTTGAATAGTTCCAAAACATAAGTCTTCCAACTACTAAATGCTTCAATATCTAGATGCTAAAATATCTAAAATTGCTTGAAAATTAAATAATAGTCAAGCTAATTCAGTTTAAAAGCCTAAACTGATAGCTTCATGTAAACATAGCCTATGGTGTGGGGTGGAGGGATGTTTATATACTAAGAAGAACTCAAAGTTTTTGTATATATATGTATGTATACATGTATACATATCTATAAACTATGATTCATAGTTCATACATATGAGCTACAATTCTTCAAAGGAACATCATAAAAGACAGGGAGAGTATTAGCAATCTAATAATTTCTCTGAGCATATCATTTAAGCATTGATTCTCTTCTATAGCAAATAAGGAGTTCTTGTTAAGTTTATAATAGATATATCACAAGAAATCATAAAAGTTGATGTGGAGATAAATAGGTTATATAATTGCAGGTTGATCACAACTCTGATATCATCAAGCCATTCTACATATTGTAGGATTCCTGAGCTTTGTCAATTTACTTCTCCATTGACCCATTCAAAGCCTTTTCTTCCAGTAGCACTTCTATGTTCTAGTGAACATATCTTTTTCCCTGATATTCAGCATATGCATTTGTAAATTCATTTCCACACCTTCCTTTCTCCATTGGACTATCCTCAGGGAGAGGAATTGCACACACACACACACAACCTTCTGTTTCTTTAAAAAACTATCACAACTGGATGATTTTATCCATCATTCTTTTCCCCAGACGACTAACACAACCTTAGCTAAATCTCATCCCCCCACCAGCTTCTCCAACATCCTGTTCCTTATTGTACATGTAGAACAAAGGGGAAATTTAAGGACAACAGTATGAGGGTGCCCCAACCAATTTTTCATACTACTTCTCTAAAGTAAGGTACTACAAACATCTCAACACCATTTAAAGATAAAAATCAGTGGGGCACACTGATAAAGTCTGGGTATATAGTTCCACAATTGAAGACTGAAATTATCTGTTCTCAACGTGATTTTCCAGATATTCTTTAGGTAAGTCACATTTTCAAAATTTGCATTGTTCCACTGAGAATGTGTTTTATAGAATTTAAAACCAGGAAAGTTTAAATGCTGCCATAAAAAAATCATCAGTTAAAATGATACTTTAATATCTAAATAACGAAACTAGTGATATAACTGATATGTTGCTCTGTTTGTTTGTTTTTAATGGTCTTGATTGTTGCAATCTGTTCCCATTTTTTTTCTCAGTCAGTTAACTAGTTCAGGAAGATGTTTTCAAATGAAGGTATTTTGGCTACTAGTTTTAATTTGCTTCTCAGTTATTAATGAAATGCTTACAAGAACCTTCAATTGTACAATTAGAGGATTGTATAAATATAATCATTTACTGTGATTTAATAGCATCTTCAAATTTACAATAAAAATTTATATACAAAATCAATTAGTCTATTCTTTGGGGGGTTATGACATTTATGTGTTTATATTATTTATAGATAAAACTCTAATATCGTTCTTTTAGAAATATGGCATATATATTAAAATGGCATTACAGTAGTATAGTATAGAGGTCTTAAATTACTAAACTTCCACTAGCAGGAAGAAAGGAAGACCCAAATTCAAATTCAAATTCAAATATGAATGGGAATTTCATTTTATCAAATCCCATGCTGCTGAGGGTTGCCTTAGTGATTGGAATTGTTTCAAACTAACTTCCTCTTCCTCTGTTTAGTGACTAAAGGAAAGCTTGTTTGTTTGTGCCTATTATTCATTACAGTTCACTGTAATGAATAAGCTACAATTCATTGTAGCTACAATTGAATGGCCAGGACACCTACCTCCCACAGCAGCTGAGAAAGTATATGCATGTATATATACTTGAGATATATATATATATACGCATATGTATATATCCCAATATGTAAAGTTGCACTAAAGAGTGTACTCTATATACTATAAAGAGAGAACACTTCTATAGAGACTGAGACCAGAATAAGTGGGGCTGTATAATTGTAGGAACGGAGAGGGGTAGGCCAGCACCACCGGACCCAGTGGGTTTACCTTTAATTGGCATCATGGGATATAATTCACCAACTGAAAATATACACACCACAAACATGTTTTAAAAAATTAATTATTTCCACAAAAAACCTCACAAATACAAACATCAAAGTCTATTTTCCTCTCCTTTCAATCCTTTTCTCCCTCAATCTAGAACTACATGGTAAGTACAATGTTTTCTTATGTATATTTTCTAAGCTGTGTTGGCCATTTTTTTTTTTCCTGGTCTTGTATATGCCTCATGTTTTTGTTTTGTTTTGTTTTTGTTTTTGTTTTTTGTGGCTAATAAATCAACCCCACTCTTTACAGCTTCAAGGTAAAATCCATGAAGGCTTGTCTGCCTCTTTTTCCTAGTTGTCAATTGGATTTTCTTCTAGTGCTTTCCCCACCTGCCTAGAAAGTAACTGTCAGATTTCAGATGATCATTCTGACCCTGAACTTGAGAAAATATTCTTGGTATCTACCAGACACACCTGTGAATTTTGGGATATTTAGACTGGCATAGACTATTGGCATATGGCTGGAAACTAGTGCATAAGAAGCTGCTCTTCCAAGTTAAACACCAAGATCCTAATCACATGGCCTACATTCTAGGATTCATTAAAAGTAAATATTTGAGAATTTTCCAGTCATACTTTATCCATGTTGAATAAAGTTTAGGTAATATCACCTATTGTAACATAGACAGTAGCTTCCCTTACATAGTAATTATTCAGGTTAAGTCTCTTCTTCACACCCCAAAGCACAACCAGCTGTATCACTCCTTTCTCAAGTCAGAATGAACACACGCAGTAACTGTTTCTTTCTCTCCATCTTGGGATCTTTTCGTTCAGGGTTTGTCACTAGGAAGAGAAGTGATGGGGCTACTATTTAGCCAAATTCCATTTGAGTGGTGAGAAGAGAACTGTGATGTTAGAGGTTTATGTTCTTCTGACATGTAAATTCCTGTCTTTCAGTGAGCAATGGGTCTCAGTTGAAATAGTGGATTCAGTTTTTAGTTTCTTTTCTTTTACATAATTAAAAAAAAACTCTATTACAATCATACCTTTAACCTGCTAATCTAGATTTCATCTCTTCTTGAAATTCTTCTCCAGCCAAAGCCGGACTTCTTGAAGGTTGTAGCAGAAGGGACCTTTTCCTCCCAGATAAGCAATTTTCTGTCTCTGCACAATGCACACACGTTCAAAGGCCACCCCGTAAGCTACATTGGCATTATTATCCATGCAGTCAGCCACAACTTGGCACTGGGGCGGCAAGGAGAAACGCTCCAGAAGTTGGTGGGCTGCTGCACATCGGTCTTCCTGGTTCCGGTGCTTCTTCACCTCAAAAGACAAAGAAGAATCCCCAGGTACCGCCCAACCATCTGAAGGATGAGCCTCATCAATGTAGACCAAGAGGAAGTCAGCCACTGATGAGAACTCCTCCACCAGTTTGCTGAAGGCCGGCAGCTGGCTAGTGAAAGGTGGTCAAGTGGCTGAGCCAAAGTTGACCACCAGTGGGCGCTCAGGGCTGGCAAAGTCAAGAAGATGGCACTCAGCTCCATGAACCGTTTTCTCTTGGGTCCCATTACCACTGCTGTCACCTCCTTCAGGATTGGAGACATGTACCACACTAGAATTGGGGGCATCTTCACCCAATTTCACCTGATGGTGGAAAAAAGAAAGGAGAGAATAATATATTAAATACATTGTCAAAGCCCCAAAAGAAAAGTCTTTTTTCATTCTCTCGCGTTGTTTGAGGTAATTATTATAATCACTGAAGGCAATGCTGTTAACTCTTCATAATTAAGTTGAGGTTGGTATTCCTTCCAACCCTCCTTTGTTGTCAGTGCTTAAAACACATGATATAACAAATGAATAATTGACTTCATTTTAAAAGTTAAAAATGAACAGTCTGCTTTCGGACAAAAGGACATAGCTTTTTCTGAATTCCCTCTTCTGAATTTCAAAATACTCAGGCAAGACCTTTACTCTCTTACATGATGCTAAGTTATTTAATCTCAACCAATCAACAATGATACCAATAGGTTCTGTTCCTGGCCAGAACTAGAGAACCTGGGGTCCCATATATAGGAAGGCTACTGTTATTTCGCCTCTTCAGAGCTTCAAGTTTCTAATCTGCAAAATGATGATAATAATGCCTGTCTTCCTCCTACGATCAGAGGAAGGTAACCAAGAAAAGAGTTATTTGTACACTGTCAATGACTGTGTGGGTGTAGATTATCATTATTAAATGCCACCAAGACATGTGAAACAGAATACCATCTATACTAGGGGATCTTATGTTTCAAAAAAAAAAAAATTACCCTTAGAGGAGATTTGAGCTCTCCTCAGTATGACATCCTTCCCCAAGACTTCTGGATACTCTGTGATTCTTTTGATTGGCACTTCATTACACATTGGCACATCTCCATTACACAAACAAATGAATGAACAAAAACATATAATTACTCCAGAATTCTACATTTAATTTCTCATTTTTCATGTGGTTTTTTTGTTTGTTTTCCTCTTTTTTATCTAGGAAGCCATAAACCATTTACTGTTCTACCCTATATTTTATTAATAAGCTCCTCTGAATAATAAAATACTCAGACTGAAGAGATGTAGAAGAAAATTGTCCCATGTGCCCCCTTTGCATGTGGTGTAAATAGTTGAACATAGAATGAAAGAAAGCCTGTGGGCTTTTGGATCTGTAAATTGATAATAAAAAACAGGCAACATAAAATAACCAATTACTTCAGTTTGAATTAACACAATTGGATCTTCCCCTAGAATGGTTTAATCAAAGCCAATAATATCAGGGACAACTTTGACAGGACAATTGATTTTTATACACAATCCTTAATATTACAAAACACTTCCAACTCGATCGACTTTTTTCCCTCATATAAATACAGCCACATATAACACTACAGTTAATTGAAGTCACTTAGAAGCAAATTGTTAAATACACAACAATCCAAACTGATATAAAACACTTGAGGGCTTTTATTCAGAAGCTTCTATCTAATACTAATGCATAACTCATTTTAATGGTAGAGAAAGAACTAAAGGAGTCCTTTCTCTCCTTTCTGAAAAATCCTGGCAGGGTAGGTTTGAAACAAGGACTGTTAGTTTTCTAAAGGAAATCTTATAATAACCATCTTCTTTCTTAGAAAAGGAAGTTGTTGGTGTGATTTAAGTTAGTACATTTCTTTTTAGGTACTATTAGAGTGAGAGTTTACCTAGATTCTTTCCCTTGGTTAATTTGCAAATGACACTAGTTGGAGAACATAATAAGCTGCTTTTAGTTGGATTTATTTTATATGACCTACACTTTTTAACCAGTGGATTCTTTTTACACTTCTTTGCAGATTTAAGTGGAGGGTAATACTACCAACACTTTGTTACATCTTTCCCACTTAAAGAAGCAATAAATGGATCTAGGAGGACTGATTTTAATAATAATATGCTGTGTTCCTCAACATCCTGTGATATAAAGAGCCAATTGTATTCAAATCCATATGAATTCATTAGCTGTTGCAGCAACTTCTTGTTAAGTGAGCAACTCAGACAGGAGGAAAACAATCCCTGAACTACAGACATATAAGCTCTTGGTAGGTAAAAACATCCATCTGCTTTTTTTTTTTTTTAGCATTCATTTTTGAGACCTATGAACAATTGAGTAGTCTTGTTAAATGGCCCTCTGATATCCTGACTTTCACCCAAGCAGAACTGTTGATCCCAACATTATTCCTGATTATTCACCTGAATAATCTAATCTGATGCTTCAGTCACAGGTGACTCTCTTGTTTGTTACCTGTAGTTAATTTCTTGGACAATTAAAGCACCTTCTCCTCCTCTTTCTTCTTCTTCATAATGTACAGTTCAATTAGTCACATAATGTTTTTCCAAACTACAGTTAGACTAGTTTACTTTAGAAAATTTAGAACAAGTATAATACCTTCAGTCTAAAATTAAAAATTAGGGAAGTTACCAAATAAATTATGTTCTCTGTGTCTTTGTGTGTATGTGTGTGTGGGGGGGGGAGCTGGCATTTTGTTAAGCTGGAAAAAAATATATTACATATTTTAATTTTGTTGAATGAATGATAAATATTATAATCTTTGGGGTCAGTGAAGAATTGTATACTCAATAATAACCTTGACATGCAATGAACCTAATTATATTTTGGATGATGGATAAGCTCACTGAGGTTGATAATTTAGACGTGTGAATCCTGAAGTCTTTCTATAGTACAAAAATAACCAACACCCAAAGCTACTGTTCTGTTCTTGTTATCTCAGCTTTTGTCAGAGCCCAAATGAAAGTAGCCAATATTCTTTACTCTTTACTTTACTCAGTAGCCATGAGTCCCCACTGCAGATAAAAATGTCATGAACAGATGTCCTGTTCATGAGGATAACCAGATAAGAGAAGGTGCATTGATAAGATCAATGCTATTAATAAAACTACAAAAGAAAAACTCACATTATAATCAGCAAATCCAAAAGTGAGTGGACCAATTGTTGTTTTTATGAGCATCATGCACTGATCATAAAATTTGCTAAAACCTGCTGATGGAGGACAATTTAGCAACACTAAAGAAAAAAAAAAAACTTAGAAACTTTAACAGGAAAAAAAAATTTAAAGAGCATTACTGTTTATTTCTCATGTTTCCATTTGATCACCAAAATTAAATTCCTATTATGACCAGAGTTTCAAATGGAGAATTTCTCAGTTTGCTTGCCTAGGCACCCAGCTGAGATGGAATGGGGCTATCAACATCTCTGTCAATGATGGAAGATTCTTTGCTTTCCCCAGGAGCAAAGCATTCCTTGACAAAGAGCCAAAATGATGAAGAAAATAAAGTTGGTCCCATAATAACATTTAGGCTGCAGGAAAGTAGCTCAACGAAAACAAGCTATCCCCTGGTACTCCCAAACTTTGTTTTAATTTCCCACAGTGGCACAGAAAGTCTCCTGGCCACAAGTTACCTATCATCTTAATTTCTCCTTCTTAGAGGATTTGTGTTTGGTTTTTGTCCTTAATGAGACATATTTGCCAAAGAGGCATTCAAAAGGCATTTTTTACTCTTGCGGAAGAGTAATTAGGTCGGTACCTCTTTCCCTGCCAGCAGTAGCCGCTCTAAAGAGAACCCTGCCCAGTATTTAATGCCCAAACACAAGAAGCATCATTTTCACTAATTGGTCTTGAGGTTCCGAAGTTCCCAAAGGGTCCCTTTATTTTGCAAGGATCAGAAAGGACATACGTAAAATGTAATAGCATCATCACTGACTTTAATCTTTCTCATCTGCACTATTACAGTTGCTCTTTCAAATGTTTCGGTAACCAACATCAGTATCACACCAGCAAGGGGGATGGATAAAGGGCTTGCATTTTCACACCAGGGAAAATCTCTGGGCCAAGTTCAAATGTTGTCATAGGCACATTTATAAATATGAATGAGTGTAAATATATGGCATATATAAAATTTTGATCCCCTTGATGATGGGACCCCTTTCACTGAGAGTGTCTGTGACCCGGGAAAAGGATGCTGCTGCATGTGAGCTGAGAAATGCAGGGTGAGGGAAAATGAGAAGGAAAACGATCAAGGAGAAGCTTGAAATAGAGCATATATTACTAGCCATGTTTGTTTTTCTTTTCCACAGCTTGAGAACGGTTCTGGACAGAATATCACCTAATCTCATGTTAGAAAATAAAGCAAATGACAAAAATGGCGTTGGGCGGGTGTGTGACTGAAGAAATCGTACACATCCTTCTTGCTCTCTGAAGTCCTGGACAAGGCTTTATTAGCCATCAAAAAATTTCAAATTCTTTGACATAATGATGAGATGACATCAGTTCATCTTTAAAAAATGTAGCCAATTTTTAAGTAGCATTTTAACCATTTCCATTCAAATTGACCCAATAAATCAAAGTTAAAGAACAAACTACCTACTCTTTCCTCTGATTTCAGTTCCCTCTTGGCCACTCTGGTTTTGATTTGTATCTTGAAATTGTAAACCCCAAGCGCTATCACTTCCCAGTGTTTTACCTAAGTGGTGGACAAGCTCTGGCTGTGGCCTTGTGTTCTTTGGGGAATGTTTCTCCCTTAAAAAGAGCCATTTTCCATTGTAGAAACTGGTGTCAAAAGGCTTGAGGTGAATGAAGAGGAGGAGGAGAATGTTAAAGAGACTCTTTCAAAACCAAAATTATATGTTTAAATGAATATGTTTTCTGTGCCACTGCAATATTAACCGTGCAGAAGCTAAACTGCTTGTCAGCATCTATACTGCGTGTTTACTTTTACACTTCATTTAGGTAGGAGCCAGGCTCACAGACAGGCTCATTTGCTTATTGGTTGCATTTTTGAGTCTTGGAGGACCAGCACAAGGATGCAGTGTTAGAAGCAATGACACTGACTAGCGAAACTTAAATAACAAATAGCTGTTCTTCACCTCAATCCTTCACAAGTCTCTGTAGACTTTTTTTCATTAAAACCAGGTCTGCAACACTAACTAACAAAACCTGAATTATCCTTCAATGCTTCCTTAGAAAGTTCGTTTTAAATCACATTCAACCTTTGGAAGGAAAAGGAATTTTTTGTTTCATTTTTTTGTTTCTGTTTTGTTGCCTCTTTCAGGAGCCAAACACAGGGATCACACTATTACTCTGCTTTCTCTAAATACCTTCCCAAGTCTCTGACATTCCACAACCAGAAGAATTAGAACTGACCTGCTCAGTTGTATCCCATGTGCAGTAAAGCTCTCAATCAGAAAAGCTTCTACTGAAGGTGGCAGCCTCAAAATAGTGCAAGTCAGCATTATGAAATACTATGATGCCATCTCAACAGAGCTTCCTCCAGTGTCTCCAGACATGCCAACGCCCAGAGACAGTAGCACAGATGGCAACATCACTCAGGGAAGTGACTCAACCTGTTTCAGACATTCTGAGTGACCCTCAAATGCCACCACCAACCCTTGCCAAACTTGGACAGAGAAAGAGCCCCAAATTCAGCATGAGCTGTATTCATGATATTTCTAAGCACTGCACACCCTTTCAGTCTTGTCTCTGGATATAGAGGCTCCTGGGTTGCTGTTTCTCATGGTAGGTATTTTATAAATCATTAAAAGCACACGTAGTAGCATCCTAACATCCCTCATGAACTTGGTCATGAATCAAATCAAAAGAGAAATAATGCAGGCGAGGAATACACAAACTTTGCAAAAAAGAAAAAAGAAAAAAATCTCTCATCCTTGCCAACTTCTTGGAAGAGGAATGACAAAATATTGCAACACAATGGAACACTATACATTAGTGAAAAAAATAACAAAGTTTATTAAGGCGGTATTTATTTTTTCCATTTTTATTTCCATTAGTTGCTTAATTGCAAAACCACCTCACTTAACATTTATGGGTAACACCACCGCTCTCACCACAGTTTATCTGAGAGGTATTTGTGCAACATACAGGCACATAAGTAAATTCTCTCAAGCAATGATTTTTTTTATAGTCAAAAGTAAACTATCTTTCAAAATAGTAAGAATTTAATAAGCTGAGATCAAACCATTGACATAGCTGTTCTATCTTATAACTCCTGCAAAATGCAGATGCAGATGAGGGAGCTTCCTAATTAATAATATACCTGATACACATTCTTACCCTTCTCCAAATTCTCTAAGCCCAAAACAAAACAGAAGCATTCACATGCAAAGTGTACATTTGCAGACATGACACAGGTCCTCTCAATAGCTCCTTTCCACAGCCCCCACTTACCCCACTTAGATAACAGAAGTAAGTTTTTACAGCTAGAACTTTGAGCATCATTTCACAATCTTACACAAAAATTTTCACTTACTATCAAGAGCTCTTACTATTCTCCTGTCTTTAGGGCAGCAATGTACTCCTGCAGGGAACTCTCAGTAACAAAATGTGGATTATAGCAAAACTTCCCTCATCCACAATGAATAGTTCCTTCTTGAACTCTTGCTTGATTTTAGTGGAACATCCTATTCTGAGTTCCTTGACACTAGAGGTTACTTCTTTTCCTTTCCTGGTGCATAGGTTTATTTTTCTGGTGTTTATTTTTGGAGGGCTTATTCATTTCCTGCCCCCCCTTTTATTCTAGAGTTTTCTGTCTCCTGTAATCTTGGGCACGAGCCCCCAGTACCGTTAGGGAAAATCAAAATTGTCTGCAACTTTTGCCGCGGGATGAGATTCTTCTTAAACCCAACGACCTTCAAAGAATCACATGCACATAGAGGGAGGAGGCAAAATGACAGAGCATCGGTGCCAGAATTTTCCTCTTTGCCCTTTAGGAAGGCGTTGAGGGTTCTACACCAATATTTGCAAGCAGAAAAAAAAAAAGCTGGACTGCCAGCCTTCCTCACTTATAAACAAAGATTGACAGAGCAGCACTTAGGACACAACTTCTGAAGATAAGTAACCCCCAGCTGCAGGACTCAAGGTGCGCGTTGTAACAGCTTCTAGATGTTCCTGCAGCAGAACTATCTGCTCCGAGACAACTTGTTTAACTTTTGAGGAACAAAGCAAATGTGGTTTTCCTTACAAATTCTGGATTTCTGACAGCCAGTCCTCAGATCTTTCTTTTGCAAACTGATACCTAGTAACTGGGGAGGCAGTGCCTGAAAGCCACATCAAAAGGGGTTCAAATCCAGATAAGTGGAAAGGACTCTGCCCACTGGCTTGCTTTCATTAACTCTCACCTCTACCAGATAGACTGGCTGTGACACGGAAACACACCTGCTGTGACCATTTTGCTAAGTCTTGTCAACTCCCGGAGACATTTAAGCAGAGAATTTTTTCTTTCTTTCTAGCTTTGCAGTGTCCACCCCCTTGAACTGTCCTCCCTCTCGCGCCTCCCAGAGCTTCTCATCCAGCAAAACATCACATCTCACTTTATGACGAGCAGAATAAATGTCGTGGCGTCTCTTCCCCAACATTTTCTGACTTGCCCCAAAGTTGTTCTTTGCCTGCGCAAATACCCTCCACCTCCAAATCTCAGCAAGACACTCCTGAACGTTACTAGAGAGACTCATGAGGTCACACAGAGGTCATTCGGGTGAAACACCTGTCGCCCTCCACCCCCCCAACCCCTCCTGTCTTAACTTGCATGCCAGGTGGAAAAGGGAAGCTTAGGAGCTGCCCTGGGTAGAACCACCAGCTTCCCAAATAGGGAGTCCTCACCCCCAAGCTCCCCACGTCCCCTAGTCTCCAGCAGAGATGCCTCTGGCCCTGCAGACCTGAGCAGAAGCCCCCCTCATCGCCGCTCACCTGTTTGTAGGCATCGAGGAGGAAGCTCTTCCAGATGCAGCGCATTCCCTCTGAGGTCAGCATGCGCCTCCACTCCCCGCGAGTGGACTTGGAGCGGCTCAACAGCAGCACCACGTGCTTGAGCAGAATGACCGAGTCATAGAGCGCCAGGAAGAGGCAGTTGGAGAAAAAAACTGGCAGAATTTGCAGTGTGATCAGCAAGTCTACGCTGAGGATGCCCATGGTCTCTGCCTCCTGAGTCAGTTTCCTTGTGCTCTCTGGTTCCCCTTCACCCTCTTATTTAAAAGGGGGGTGGTGATAGAGGGGGTGGGGGAGATGAGGGGGAAGGTGGGGGTGGGGGAGAAGGAGAAAAACTAAATTAAAAGGAAGCCCAAGTTGTCTCCTCTTTCAAAGAAGCAGAAATGGCAACACCAAGCCCAGTCTCTCCAGCCCAGCAGTTGGAGCATGCCCATCAATTCATTCAATTTGGAGCTGCTGCTTTTTTTTTTTTTTTTTTCAGGATTTAGATGTTTAAAAAAAAAACAAAAAACTGGCGTACCCGTCCCTAATCCAGTCACCCCTCTCAGAGTCGGTGAAAGACAGGCAGTTCTACTTTCATTTCCAAGCACCTATGAGACTGTGGCAGAGATTGCAAAATTTTCTTAGCTTTTCATTGTCTATGTTCAGAAACGTAGCCTGTTTCTTTCTTGAATTGCCAGAGTTTTTAAAATGTGCTTTAGGAGTAGTTTTTTCCCTTCTTTACTCCGTTTTACACACACTTTCTGTTCTTCTCCCAGCCTGGCTCACTCTCTCCCTTCCCAGGAGCGGCTGACTTCTCTCTTCTTCCTCACTGCCTCTGGCTCTGCCTTCGTGCTATCTGTTGGTGGTGCAAAGTGCCTCTCTCTGCAGCCCAGTGAGTCTCCCTGAAGCCTTTTATACATTCCCTGGCTAATTGCTGCAATAGAGAAATGAAAGGCTAATCTTGGTAAAGATCTTGACGTCATTGAGAAAGAGGGCTTTACTTTGGCCAGGACTGCAGTGAATAGAAAAGCAAAACTCGACAACTTTTTTTTTTTTTTAGCAGGGGGGGGCCCCGAGGGACAGTGGAATTTTGCTTTGTGATTTAAAGAGAGAGAGAGAGAAAAATTAATACCTTTGACTGTTGTCAGGAAATGCTTTCAAACTTCAGGAAAAGTAATTTAATAGGATGTGTAGATTGATAGGGTAACTCCTGCTCCTCTGATTATTGGTATTTTTATTCATTTATGAGGGATTTGGGGCAGGAAGCCTCCTCAAAGCAGGTAGAAAGAGGGAGAGTAATCACAGATGGTCTTTGCTCTATTTCTTAGGAGATGTGAATACTTATATTTGGTCTTTATACCTTTATACTGTCTCTCACCAAATTTGTGACTGATGTTCTGTGACTCTTTTTTGAGTCAGGATCTTATTTGAGAAAATTCAGAGTAAGTTGTGAGGTAGAAAACTTTTTAACTCTGAGTACCACGACAGAGTTTCTTTAAAACTTCTCATAGAAAATTAATACAAGTTTTTTTTTTTTTTCCAGTTTTTCCAGGGCCAAAAAAGAAAGTTTTCTACACATGAAAATAGTTAGGTAACCAGACCTTCTTTAAGTTCCATTTTGCCTATATGCAGATTAAATTAAAACTTTCCATCAAATGGCATTATGATGCCAGGAGGCTGAGAAACAAATTCCTTATGAGAGCTCTTTCAATTCTGCATTTACCCTGCTTCTGTTAGCAAAACCCCAAGAGAACTGACACTTCGGGAAATCTTCCTTTCTGCTTGATTCTTTTTTGTTGTTGTTGTTAATGTGTAAGTGGTTAGGAGCAGACTTTGAATTGGTTCAAGAGTCACATTTACCGCGCGGTGGCTCACCTCTCTTACCCCTCTCCAGAACTGACAGTTAGGCAGACAATCTTTTGGCAGAATGCCAGGATCTCATCAGATTCTAGCTTTCCTTCCCCACTTACCTAACAGACCACCTCTAGGAATTTTGTTTTCTGGGAAGAAGGAGCGGCAAGTATAGGCACTGGGGTGGGGATATAGAATTTTAAATAAAAATGTGTCAGCTGGCTTTTTTATGTAATTAGAGCTCCCACTGGATATGAGCTGCAGAGTAGGTGCACGCCTGTGGTCAGTACCCTTCTGTGTTTTGTCTCTGTGGCTAAAATTTGCAAGACCACAGAAATAATTTAAAAGCCTAGAGCAGAGATCATTAATTGGTGGGCCCATGGGACAAATTCTGCATGTAGATGCATTTCATTTGGTTGGTACAACACTTTTTGAATTTAAAAATTATAATTGAATGAGAATGCCTTTAGATTCTGTGAGACCTGAGGTTCCTCTTTGCTTTGTCCATTGCTATTTCCCAGCAGTTAGAACCTTGCCAAGCACATAGGAAGCCAGAGCACAATGTGCAGAAGGGATGAATCAACAGGGCATACATTGCTGTACACTAGAGGGCACCATTCACATACAAGATGATGTGATTGGCATGCCGGAATTGTACACCCTGGTGGACACTCCATGGACACAATCCTCACCACTCCCTATTGCCTTAAAATCTTAGATGCTTCTTTTTATCATCCATTTAACCTAAGAAGGGTTTTGGATTTGCCCATGGTGTAAACTTTTAGGAAAATATTCAGAACTTAGAAAGATAAATAAAAGCCACATTGAAAAACATTTTTCCTATGACTAGAACACATTGTTAGCAAAAGAATATTATTCATGTCCATATTAGATATTCACTCTATTCTTTCTCCCTCCCTGCTCTATGTCCTTAGGAAAGAAAGAAAAGACAGGATGATGAGAGGGAGGTGACAACATAGTTTTTTTTTAACTACTGTAGATGGGAAAGCTACAGTGCCAGATGAGGTCCTGGCCAACAATGACAGAAAAAGGTGTGGACTCAGGAAATGATGCTTCCTCACTGCCCAGACCTTAAAATCTTACCCCTTCCCAGACATTCATTTTCTCCTATTTACATTGAATCACTGCTCCTTTAAGATACACACTTGGGCAGCCCTCAACCAATTCTCCCTCACTTATCAGTTACCTTCAAGGAGGGAGTTCTTTGGGAAGCAGCAAGCTAATGAGGGGGGTTGGTAGAAAATCAGGAAAAAAATCTTTTTATGTACAGAGTTCAAGGCACAGCCAGACTACGCGTAGTAATAAATCAGAGTTATGACCTGGGCCTCTTTTCTGTTTTCTTTCTCTTTTTCTTTTCTTTCTTTCTCTTTTTTGTAGTAAGAAGTATTTTGAGGTTTTGTTTTTTTTTTTTTTTAAATGGGGAAACCAATAGATACACAGCCAACCTGATAGTGTCATTTCTCAGATTTTGTCTATCCTCTAAATGAATGAATAAATGAATCTCAGAACTGAAAGTTATCCTTTTACCTATTAGATAATCTGTCCATCCTAGAAATTACATTTCTCCAAGGGCATCTTTTTCATGTGGTTCACACTTGCTTGTTCTAATTACTAGTAATATTTAGCACTTTGATCTGCAAGTAGTTTTATCCCTATTAAATAACAAAAATAGCCCATTAGGTGTCAGAGTATGATTTGAGTCTTCATATACATGAGAGGATGTGTATCACAAACGTTGCAGAGTGAGAGCTGGTGCTGGGTTCTTTTCCCCAAACTAAACCTCACTTTTTTCCTGCATGACTGTTTTGTGGATCGTGGTTATTACTTTCAGACTCAAAGCCTTGCCAAAAATGGTTGCAAGAAGTAACTTTACCTTCTAAATTGCAAAGGATATCTGGGATTGCACATCTGCTTGATATTGCCCTAATTCAAGTTTCTGGTTTAGATTTCACAGGATCATTGGAAAGCTTTGGATATCTTCTTGGTCATGTAAGTGTTGTTAGCAATCAGCAGTGTAATGAGTTAAATGCAATCCAATGTGTGGCATATTGGTTGAATTTCCCCACACACAGGTTTTATATTCCAAGGAGAGGCAACCTAGGACAAAATGCTTTGGGCTTTCTCATAAATGCAGAACCACTGGAAAATTGTTTAAATTTTCTTTTACCTAAATAAGTGAGCATCGTGTTCTGCCATTGCCTCCTTTGGGTTGGAAAAATAACAAGCATAGGAGTGATAAATCCTTCGTTAGTCTATGTTTGACTCTTAAGAAATTGAAGTGGGATATTCTGAGAGTAGACTTGAAAATTTCAAGAAGAGACACTCCCACAGCTATCCTCTTATTCTTTTCTGAGCGAGTCAAGGAGTAGCCAAAGAATCCTGTGGCAGTAAAAACTCATTCTGTGGGGCCTCCCCTGGTGGCGCAGGCAGTTGAATGCCGCACTGTGAAGCTGTCTGTAGCCTCTGCAGTGCGGGTTTGATCCCCACCAACCGGGGAGAACCACATGGCACAGCAGACCTCTCCTGTCTCGTCCGCTGCTCCCCTTAGCAGTGTATTTCTTCAGTCTGCCTGCTCTGTTCCCTGCTCTGTCTCTGGTGAATCCTCTCACCCCCCACGCATCTGGCCTGTACCCCAGTTCTTGTATAAAAATAAATAAATCTTTAAAAAAAACTCATTCTGTGGATTTTTGGTCTTAGCTTAATAGAATTTTATTCCTTCTCATGCAAGTCGTCCATTAAATATAGTAACAATGCAGTTTCATTTTGACTTTATTAAAAACTTGTCAAATAACTATAAATCCAAGAGTGCCTGGTCAGGACTTGTCTGTGTGCTGATTTGGAGTACTGGGATTATATATCCCCCCTAAAGAGTTGCAGCTGTTATCAAAAAAAGGGACCGCCAAACTGAACAGCCAGTTTCTATCTCTAGTAACTCCTGGTTGTGCCTGAGAAGGAGTTATAATGGAGGGTTTATACCACAACTACTGAATCACTCACAATTCCCTGTGGGCTCATCCACTCTACAAACACAGCTGAGTTCCCTGCCTTGTGATGAAACTCAATGGATAAAATAGACAACCCCAGAGTAAACTCCGACACACCTTAAGCAAAGCATCTTGGGGCTGGGGCCGAGGAGGAGGGCACTGTGGGAGGTATGAGCATTCTATCCCAACAATCTTGTCTTAGGTTCCTCTGCAAGCCCTGGCAGAGAGCACAGTCTGAGGTGTTAATAAATTCTTCCCTCAGGAACTGCTGCTGCTCTTTTCTTTCCAGGCCACCTACTGGTAAAACAGCAGAGGAAAAGAAAAGGGAAAAGTCAGGAAGAGCAGGGAAAGCAGCAGTGAAGAAGAGAAAGAAGATGAAGCAAGTGGAGAAGGGGAAGAGGGAAGAAGATTCAGTGAGTTGTAGTTGGAGGCCGCCGGCCAGAGATCCAGTTAATGCCAATTGAGGCAAAGCTTTTTTGTGAGGAAGACAGCTGTCCAGAAGCCGGGTGGCAGCCACCAGCTCATTTCACAGAGGCCACTGAACAGCTGTCAGGAGACAACCAGCCTTCACTTGCTATTGACCTGGTCTAGATCTAAATTGATTGTCAAGCCCCACTCCCAGATGCCCAAAGCCCTCCAGGTGTCAGGAGGCCCTCTGAGTGTTACTTAATTTTGAGAATAGTTTATTACCCTCTAGGGACACCCAAAGGTGAGGGGAGGAGAGGGTAAGAGAGGAGAATACTTTGTAAAGTTAGACATGGTTTATTCCTTCAGCACAAAATGCCCAGAATGAACATATTGAATGTTCTCTTTTCTGAAAACTTGACTATCTCTTCATTCTCCTTAAATTTTTGACCTGATGCCACTGACCAGAAGAAACATGGGAAAATGGTCAAAAACAGTCATTATGTTTGGAAATTTTCCCCTACTTTGTTTTCATTCACAACCCATCGGAGACCGTCAGGTAATATTAAGTTTAAAATAAAATTCTCTACAAATGGTTTTACAGACATTTAAAAAAAAAATCGCTCATACATCACCTCCCTCATATGCTGAATATATGAACACAGAGCATGACAAAATACATGAAGGTACGTGCTGGTTCATGCCAGCCCAGAGGTGTAGTTTGTTCCCACTGAGAGCTAAGGATGCCACACCTCCTCTCTCAAGAATTAGAAGATACTAATGCACAGAGAAAATAAACTAGATATTCTACTCTAATCTCAACAGAGATGGTGAAGCTAATAGCATTATCTGTAGCATGAAAGTCCAGGTTTGCAATGGGGATAAATGCTTGCAATGAGGATGACTGTACAATGAGGTAAGTCACAAGGCAGGTTATGAAAATGCTATCAGTGGAGCTGTTCTCAAGTAGGAAGGCAGGGCTAATAACATAATATCTCAAAATGTCTTTAAACCTATGGTGCCTCTAAAATCAAATTCTAGGATAAGTTAATACATAACATATATACAAAAAACATATTGTGGCAGAAACCATAATCAAATTGCTGCTTTGTTTCAATTTTCATTGAAATTCAATTTTCATTGAAATTCAATTTTCTTTTTTTTTTTTTTAAGATTTATTTATGCATACAAGTACTGAGGTACAGGCCAGAGGTCGGGGTGGGGGGTGATGAGAGAATTCGCCAGAGACAGAGTGGGGAGCAGAACAGGTGTATTTACTGAAATACACTGCTGAGGGGCACAGCAGGCGAGATAGGAGAGGTCTGCTGCGCTAAGTGGGTAGCTCCCTGGCAGGGGATCGAACTCATACAACACTGGCTGCGGACATCTTCATAGGTTGCGTCTTAACCTCTTGGGCCACCAGGGAGGCCCCAAAATTCAATTTTCATTGACAATTAATTAACTGAAAATATTTTTTCTAATTAAGTTAATCTTTATTCTTTGCTAAGAGGTAGATTTCCATAGGAAGGAGGAAATGCCAGGTATGAAATTCAAGTCTGTTTTAAAATCCAGCTTTGTTTATTAAAGGAACATTGGTGGTCTTTTATCAAGATATAATAACTAAATGAGTCCTTGAAAAACAGACATATACAAATTCCCGAGTAGCCAAATTTTGTGCTCTCAGAAGCATTTCCTCTCTGTTGTAAAGACTCAAAACCTGTCTTTCCAAAATACAATTAATGAGTTTAGTTATCAGTAATGAGTTAAATGATATCTAGATCAAAGACTTCATACTTCTCAAAGCAAATATCTCTATTGCTTCCTTATAGAAGTTAAGTAATACCAGCACAGTCCACATTCACCTCTAATGAAGAGATGTCTTGTCCTGGCAGACTTCAATTAGCAGACATAGAATCTCTTCTTGGGGTCACACAGGCTAAGATGATCAGAAACAAACTTCTGATTTATTTTTCTACCTGTAAAATAGAGTTTAAATGTTTTCCCATTCTTACGTCATGTGAGTGATGACATATTCTAAAAATATTCAAAAATATTCAAAAAATATTCAAAAAGGCAATCTTTGTGAAAAGTTTATTATTGAGACCAGCCCTAAATCAATAGATTCCCTCTCACGAAACTTCCTTTCAAAAAAAAGTTTCTGGAAGACTAAACCTGATTTTAGTATGACTTACCAACCTGTTCCACCTGACGTTAGGGAAACTTGGTTACTTAGTGGAAAACAGGAAAGATTACCTATAATTGAGAATATTAAGGATGGGCAAACTTTTCCTAAAGAATAATAATCAACCTGACTCTTTGCCCAAATTTAATCCTGAACTGAACCTATTGGAGAGCCCTTCAGAGAAGCCTGTGCCTTGAATTTAAATTACTAACCATCTAGCACTCTGCAATCTTTGATCATTTTAGGGACACTGGAAAGAAAAGCTACCCAAATATCTCTGACTATAGAAAACAATTTTTCTAAATTTCCTGGACCAGAATGGGATAGAAAAACATTCTATAACAAAGGAGGAAAGCTACTGACACTTCCATGAATGATGTGCTTGTCCAATTGAAGCTTCCACAAAATTTGATGCCTGCTCTCAGCAGTGGCACCACTTTGCATCTTCTTTAAGAGACTGATGTATTCATGCTATACAGATATAGCCTCCTGCTGTCTTAGGACCTCAAAATGATAGGTTTCAAAAGAGCTATCAAAACTATTTGCTTTCTTTTGTGACAGAATGACTCTTCTAGAAGGAGTCAGTGAGCCAGGGTGGGGGTGGGGGTGTAGTAAGAGGCAAATCAAAAGGAAGTAAGACAGGACTGGAAGTAGAAGAATGAGAATAATAAGAGTGGGGAGCACTTAATCAATAGCTTTTGAGTGCTTGATCATAACATCTCAATATTGGAAAAATAGAAAAATATAAAGAATGTAGATGCTATTTCAATGAAAGGATATGAAACTAGAAGTTAGTAAATATAATACTTTCCTTTTCTATATGTAGCTCCAGTAAGAGGATATGGGAAGACGAGAAAAAGGATAGGAAAATGTCAAAGACATCTGCTTATTTTAGAAAATTAGTTCAAAAACACTCAAAAATTAAGCACTATAGGACTTTTATTAAATTGGTCAACTACTTACAGGAAAGTTTTTTGAAACCTACAAACAGTTGTTCCTTGTGCTAGGCAGTGAAAAGAATCCCTGGTCTCAAAAAAATTGCATCCAGTAGGGGGAGACAGACATATAAACTAAAGAAGGTAACACAATGGCATAGGTTCTACAAGAGATAGAATTACAGAGTACACTACTGTGTAAAGGAAGAATTAGCCAATTCTGTGTGGGCTAAGAGTCAAAAAAGAGTTAATGGTGAAACAATATAGACCTACTAAACATAGTACACAAAATCAAATTTAGAAATGTGGTATTTTGATAAAGGAACAAGCTGAAAACAATGGTGTCCTATTTATCTTGTTTGTAGCATCTTTTAATTAATCTCTATGAGAGGAATTTACATATCTTTTTGACCTTGAAACAGGTTATTTAGGAATGAATGACCTTCTCTAGATAAATATAAAATTACTATAGTTACACAATAGGAAAGAAGTTTGCTTAAAGCTTTGTTTTGGCAGATTCTATCATTTCTACCCTATGAAAAGTTAGTAGATACAAGTTTGGTCTTAACAGCCTAATGTTCTGAATATACTATGGAAGCTAGTAAGCAGCTCTTGGCAATTCTGTTCATTTCTACTAAATGAATACTTCAGTGGCAAGGATGTTTCAGTGTCCAGGTCCATTCCAACTCATCAAGAGTACAATTGTATGACCTTGAGCCATTCATTTTTGGGTTCTCCAGGTAAGCTCATCAAGGCAAGCTTTAAAGCCCATTGAGATTCCAAATGAGTGACTTTGGAACTTTATTTCTACCACAGGAAAAAAAAATAGGTCTAGTAACTCAGAATGACTTTAATCCAAATCTCCATTCTTCCTGTCCTCTTCAATTTGAACCATTGGGTTTTCCTTTTGCGCCTTTATTTGTGATTTTTTATTACTTTTTGCCCTCTTGTGACAAATCACCCTGACAGTGATAAGAAATGAGGTTAGAGAAGTTGAAGATGTTTATTTGTTGGGAATTTTATCAGTCAGCTAGAGAAAGATGTAGAAATCAAGATTTTATGGAAATAGGAAATATTTCTCCAATACAGAGCTTATGGTATATGTGCACAATGAACATTCTTGTTTCTATATTTAAGCATAAATTCAGGCTGGAAAATAGTGAAAATCAATCCTAGGATAAAAAATGTTTATTATGGAAAATATTTTTTAAAAATACAGAAGTAGAATAATGAATATATGGAATCCCATGTACTCATCAGCCAACTTTAATATATAACTCACAGCCAGTCTTGTTTCACCTCTGTGACTCCATCCACTTCCCTACTTCCCATGTAATCTTGAAGGAAGTGCCAGTTAAGATTTTTGATTCTCCCAAAACATCTATATTGTTTTTTGCCTGTGTTACACAAATGAGCTACCTAATTGAGTAATTCTCTTCTATCTACGTTTTTCTCACTCGTTGACACTTATCTGTCAAATCACTAAGAAAAAAAATTAAAATAGACATTCTTCCCATAATTCCTGTGATAGAATCCAATCTTTCATTCTCTAGCTTGTAATATAGTGATAGATATATTAAAAATATATATAGATAGAGAATAAACCTGTAAGTTTGTCCATAAATTATTGAACCACAACCAATCAACTTTTAATGGGATGTAGAACACATGCTGACTGAGAATGAGATTATTTTTCAAATTATCATTTTCCTTCTTTACACCCATCTCCAAATACAATGTGGCACAAGGTATGGCATGGCATTGTCAAGTAGGTCATCAGAATCTGGCCATTCTGATAAAATAGAAGCTGATAATAAGAATTCACAGAGTTGATCAATGACAAGTTTTTCTTAACATGAAATTTCCCATCAGGAAACTTCATTGATATAAGAAAAGCATGATATTTACCATAAAAACAATTATCATATGAAAATAAAACTTAACTTCTTAGAGCAGCCCATAATAATAGGTCTATGCCTATTCCCTAAAGTCATTCTCCTTCCTTGAGTCATCAAACATACTCCAAAGGTAATCATCTCTTCCATTAGAGATCTGGCATCATCTGAACTACTTACCATTCCAGAACAACCTCCAACCCAAGAAGTGATGAATGGATGTTTTGGATGGTTTTATGGAAAATATAATACATTTTCCCATATCACCAATCACTAAGAGACAGGGGTGGAGGGTGGCAGGGGAGAAGTATATGCATCCATTTGATTCTCTGCATTTTCTACAACAGAAAGAATTTTACCTGATGCTATGCCAGTATATAGTGTACTTGCATATGCATGTACATTAAATTTTGTAGGTGTGCTTTGCTATATTGGAAAACATATTCAAATAATAAATCTCAATAAATGAAAATGACTTTCTTTTCCTACAGTATATAAAAATGCTGGGGCAATCTGCTTTCCATGTTCAGCCACCAAACAGCTAAACATTGAGTGACATCCAACTTTATGAGACACATAAAAATGAAATAAAAATGGGTAAGGAGATAAACATTTAAAGAGATAAACACTGTCAAACAGAAATGATTACAAAGTTTGTATCATTCTGCATTTTTCAATGTTTTCTGTTTACCTGGCTTTTTCCCACCATGAATTTCTTTCATTCATTTTCCCCCCCTTTAATAATATATGTTCCTATAATCACTGACATTAAAGTAAAGGATGTGAAACAGGAAACAGGACTCGGTTTATATTTATTGGGGGAAATATAAGTAATTTAAAATGCAAGATTTTCCTCATATACTTGAATGTTCCATCTAATTTAATTCAATAGCTCTGGAAAATTGAGCTCCTTTTTCACAGAGATACTGTTTACCTTGTACTATACGAAACCACTACAATCAACCTCTTTTGATCCACAAATACAGTAATTGCATATTGTTTAACCTAATAGTATTTCAAATGGCAAAAGGTCTACCGATCATTGCATTTAAGTTAACACAGGCTTGTTTCTTGCTGAAATGCAGAGAATAACGGAAGTATTGCTTTCCATGGTGCTTGTGCCCTTGACATTGTTAGTTGACATTTTATTTTTTAAATTATGTCATTAATAATGAAAACCAAATGAATATTACTTTTACCCTTGCCTAGCAGACTCTGTAATTGTCGTAAAAGAAATTATTCTTCATCAGTGTCACAACAGACGCTGACGTTCCTTCTTCAAGATGATAACACCTAAATGTATGTTAGAACATAAAATGTCAATATTAAACATTTCACTAAAACTTTTGGTTAGTAAAGGTTTTGTAGCCAGTATGTTGTTTTGTATTAAATTGGATGTGCTTTTACTATAGCAATGATGGGAGCAAAAGAAAATTTAAAGTTTTAGATATAAAAGGACCAACCTGAATGGAAAACAAGCATTCAACAAATCAAGTCATGTAAGGACGATACTCAATTTAGCAGCAAAGGACTTCTGCTACAACGTAAGTTTAACATTTTACTCATGTCCATAAAGATTTGAAAGGGTAGCTCAAACATTTTTAGAATATAGAATAATTTCTTCTCTGAGCAAATGGAATACCCCTGCTATTCCAGAGGTTATTACTCTTAATGGCAACTTTAGTGAGACTTGATTTCTGATCTACCAACTCAATTTAGAGGTTAGCTGACTTTGTCCCGATGCCGACAAAACTAAAAGAAAACTTTACAAGCAGAACGAATGCATTCTTTAGACACCAAGTCACCACTTTAACCACTTCTCTGACCCACCTTCAGTAAATTCAGCACAACAAGATAAGGTAACAGTATAG